TTTTAAAATTTATCTATTTTTTTAATCTAATTTTTTAGGTGGAAGGGGGTGGGGGGGGGAGGTGAAAAGTTTGTAGTAGGAGAATGTTGATTTGGTTTTGGGGAAACAAAAAAAGAGGGAGAGGAGGGGGGTGGGGATTGTTGGAATTTGATAGAAATGAGATGCTTTAGACGACTCTTTGGCTTCTCATACAATGATCACATCACAAAATAATGGGGAAGTGCGCAGTAGAGTGAAACGACACCTGAGCCACTATTTAGACTAGCTGTCTACTGTGAAGCGAAGAAAAATGAATTGGTATGGTCATGTAACAAGATCATGTGGCCTATTCCCACCCACCATTTTCAGGGAACTGTGTAGGAGAGGAGAAGGAGAGGAAGGCAAAGGAAGAGGTGGACGACAACATTGCAGAGTGGACAGTAAAATCCTTTGCACAACTCAGGCGCTCACCAGAAATAAATCCGTGAAAAGTGGATGCATCTGACGAGGCTTTCTATCTCACAGCGCCCCTACGATCCTTGGGGATTATGGGGGTCAGAAAACAGTAAGCAGTAACCTTGGGTCGTTTTGTGGAGTTTTTTTCAACCCGTTTGGTTCTGTCCTGTGGCAGACGGATGTTTAAATCAGAAGTCCAGCCATTTAAATTTAACCTGAAAGTGTTGACAGGGGCGTTAAAATTGAACACTCACTCACAGTCTTGACCACCGCTCTTCGCTGTCTACAGAAACTTCGATGCGAAGCAATGGCACCATGGACTGCGCGATTACGCCAAAATGAAGGGCCAAAGAAGAAGCTTACCATCATCAATCAAACTTCTATCGTCTTAATCATCTTGATATAAGCATTCCTATGACTTTTAAAGCTTGCAATATCAGAATATCATTGAGTTGCAATCAGAATACCGAGTACATATTTAGCTTAACATTCTTAATATTAATAATTGCTTTTCATATGTTATGCATGTGACTGTGAGCCTGTTTGTGAGTGCAGGCATGCTATTTTAATATCAGGGTTATGTGTACAGATGTGGTAGGAGGAGATGAAGCGTGTGAGAAAGAGGGGGTGAGCATGGGTGTGCACATGCGTGTGCGTATGCGTTTGTGCTCATATTTGTGTGTGTGTGTGTGTGTGTGTGTGTGTGTGTGT